TTTTCCTTCAATCTCTATCGACGGAGTTTTTTAATGTTAGATGATGACATCTACTGGGACATTCAGTTACTTACGCTGGTACAGTATGCATTAGCTAAAGATTCCTCATACGACAGGGCGATTTTGCAGGCTGACACTGGATACCTCTGGAATAACGAAGGATCGGATGTATAAGAATGATCATTGTCTACAGTTAGCAATACCCACCTAACCCATGGAAACTTGTAGAACATCTTGTCAATCTGGAAAAGATAGTAAACACCCATCTCACCAACGGATATTTATAATAATGTCTTATTAACTTTCATAATAATGTATGCTCACTCTTCTCATGTTTTTTCTATTCCATATGTATTTCAAATGCAACAGTCTCTAACGATAGTATTTTACCTAAATAGTTATATATGAAGTTTCTATTGAATGAGTTGCGCATGTCGCATCAGCTGCAAGCCGTGGCGTCATGACCACTGAATAGTTATTGCCTCCTTATGAAGAGAAACATTTATATACCGAGGTAGTTATACGTGTGTAGGGCCAAAGAATGCATCACTTCGAAAACGGGAGCCTTTAATAAATAAAATAAATAAATATAAACCTGCACAGTATGAAAAATAATATTCAATCGAAGACATAAAAAAAGTTTTCATTTCTGAATGCTCGTAAAGGTCTAATAACACTATAATTTAACTTTTTTTTTATATATATAAACAAAGCTTTCGAATAATTAAAAATGTCATGAAACTGAAACTTTCCAGTTGAAATAGTTGTGATTTGATCAAAATGTTCTTGACTCAATTTTCGAGTGTAAGAACCCTAAAAAATCGAAATAATGCATCAAAATGATTATTTGAATCTTCCACAATTCTTTTAACTTATGGTCAGTATTCTTCTTCTTCTTCATTGTAGGCGTCGATGATCGTTTTGTGAGTCCATCTTTATTCTTTGTCTTCCTTTGCTTCCATTTCCTTCTATCTTGCCATTTGTTACTATGTGTTCCATCTTTTCTTTCCTCATCAAATGACCTATGAACTCAGCTTGTCTCTTATTTTCTTGATGCTGTTGTGTGTTGTATTGAAAGCAAAAGGTTCTTTGAGCGCATAGTTACACAATGGGTATTCTGAGCCTTTGAGCATCCGAGTACACAACCAGAAAGCTATATTTAAATAATCTATGTAATTACATCCTTATAAGCTACTCTTATAGTTCAAGTTATATGAAAAGTGGTTAAAAGTTCACTCTCTTCACATAAACCTACTTAGATGTAAATTCTTTTTTTCCACAAACTAACCGCGATTCTGTTATAGGATAGCAAATAAATGTTCAGTCTAGTACAATACGTAAAATTATTTTACAAATGAAATTAAGGGTTTTTTGTCACTGATTTACAATATTGTTAGAAGGCTCGTTCTCTATATAAATTATTATAAGTTCAATAAAATTATTTACAAAAAAATTACATCTAGTAAAATGCTATGATATAAAAATGATTCACCCTAAACATCACTGTTAATAATTTCTGAACAAAAGTAAGCTAACTACATAGAACTGAAAATATAAATTGATAGATCAAATTCTATAAAAAAACTAACGAGAATTATTTAATGCCATAAATCAATACACAAGATTAGGATGTGTTGAATCTTCAGTTGGGTATAATCATGCTGTTGATGATGACGTACATTCACCATAAATACCTGAGTATTATTCGTGATTTTTTATAACGATAACACCACTTATCGTTTTTATCCTGAAACGTTACCTGCTAGTCAAAACCAAATTGCTGTTTTCCCAGTAACGTTTGCTGGTTTTATAGTGTTCTACGCATATAATTTTGGAGAAGTAGACCTTATCGGCATGTGTTTTTTTTTGTTTTTTTTTATTCATCACAACGACACATACCGTTTTTATCCATAGTCTTATCTCTTAGCGTTACCTTGAAAAAAACATTTTTTTTCGCAATAGCTCTTTTTTTTTCGGCTTACAATGTCTTATGCCCAAAGTTTTGACAAAGTAGACTCAATAAATATCAAAACATAGAGTTTAGATTATTTGTTGTTTTCTTAGTGCAAGGCTCAGGGACAGCGCTACCATTAGGCGAACTAGACAGCCGCCTAGGGCGCAGACCTCAGAGGGGCGCAGTACTGACCTTTAAGAGTCACAGTTTTATACAAATTAGTTGTTTTAAGAAAAAACATAATAAAAGGAAAATATAATAGTTCATTGTTCATAATAGTTTATAGTTCATTGTTAGTTCATAACCAGTTTATTGTTTTCAAGGGGTGCAAGTAGCTGGCTTTGCCTAGAACGCAAAATAGTCTGGCCCTGGCAAGGCTACACAATGGGCTATCTACACTCTGTCTACCGCGAGAACTCGAACTCCGGATTTTAGTATTGAAAGGCCGCAAACTTACCGGGGAGATGTTAGATTTGTTGGGCAATATTTTACACAGTTATATGAACAACACTAAAGGATATTCTACTAGTGTTATTTTGTGGTGCTAGTAGACTTGTACCATGGCAATGTTAGTCTCGTACCATGTTGGGCATTTGTAGATTCAACTTTAAAAACGTTTGAGTAAGAATAAAATAAATCTATAAATCAAACTGATACAATCCCAAAAAAGTAACATAAAAAGTAACGGATTTGTTTGTAATTAAGCACAAAGCTACACATTGGGCTATCTGTGCTCTGCTCACTACGGGTATCGAAACCCAGTTTCTAGCGTTGTAAGTCCGTAGACATATCGCTGTGCTACTAGGGGGCAAAGAAACGGAGATAATCCTGAAAAAATAGGTAATATCAACATGTCAGCAAACGGAAATCTGTAAGGATTAGGATGCATTGAATCAACAGTAAGATACGTTCGCTGTTAACGATGTTTCTGCCGTGTTGATAAATAAGAAAGTTCAGTAACACAAGTTAAGATATATAAAATATTATCAAGGTATCAAAGTTAGCCTATTATTCATTATTCAAGTCTAAAGCCTCCAGGTGGTATCAATATTAAAAAAAATAAAAATGTCTTTCTGTTTTCACGTTTAAATAGAAACAAAAAACAGTTAAGACAAGTTTTATTTACCCGACATAAGCAATGAGAAAAAACAAAATATTAGTATTTCAAAATTGATAGGTAATAACATACCGGGTGAAAAGCATGAACTACACCTTAACTATTATTATACTATTTAAACATATGTGAGCCTGAACTTCAATTCAGGTACTAGTACACTAAAAACGATTATGCTGTGCTTTGCTTGCTATCACATCATTCGAATAAAACCGTTCTGAAATGTGCCTAAATGTTGCCATGGTTATTAAATCAAATACTCCTATGTTATGATTTGGTTCTACTAGTATAATAACACTTAAGACACAGCTTAATCTTACAGCTTTACATACTTTGTTTTGAATGAATGACTGTTTATTGCATAGATAAATAATAGGCTATCATTTCTATGTCCACCTTGTGGATCGAACCCTCAATTTTAGCGTTATAAGCACTGAGCCACTTGGGGACTAGGTTTTGTTTTGAAAATGTAGTTATGATCCACAGCTAGATGTAACTTTAGTAATTTGCTGTCTTTGAATGTTAGAATGAGATTCTTGAGCTTCTTTGCTATTATATAACTTGATGACGTCAGATAGGAACAGAAAACGATGATTTGTCTTCTCAAAATGATTTATTCCTTATCTTCCTGAATACTTACACCACACGTAAGAAGAAGAATAGTCAACTATTCGAAAGCGTTCCAGTTTTGGGTCTTATTTTAAGTCTACCACAAGGTATGTGGTATTCTAAGCTTAGATCTCAGGAATTAAGTCTCATTTAATTAGTGGTGTATTTGTTAAGAGTTATATTTAATATTAAGTTACAGAAGTATGATTATGTAACACTGTATGGCAATCAGTTCGCAACAAGTTAATATTGAGTAATGTTCATTTGGAGCGTTATCTTTCTAGCTAAAATTGTACTTAAGAACAGAATGGACAACAAAATATACAAGGAAAGTGAAAACAACTTACTAGTGGCACGAGCTCGGGATGGAGGAGACAAACACAGAAGACGTAAATTTCCTGTGTTCGTTTGGACATCGTCAGGATAACTTCTTGTAGTCTAGTAACTGCGGAATCGATCTCGTCAGATGATTGAAACGTGATGGACTGCAAAAGTATTCCTTTTGACGTCACGTATATCTCCTCCACTATTGAACTTGAAACTTGATCAGCTGAATTAAAAAAAATGATATATTAAATATAAACTTGTTCAATGAACCAAGTGTCTCACAACACTTTCAAACATTTAGTACTTGAAATATAGGACTCCTTGTTTTACGTTAATACCTGTTGATGTAAGAAAGTTCTGTTTCATTTACTCTTTGTATTTAAATACAATTCATTCGTTTTATTTAAATTTGATCACAACGAAGTACGCTTTCTTTCAGCCGATTAGCCATTCCTTTGTCTACTTTCTGAAAATAAAGTATTTATATTTGTTCAAGTTCCCACCTTACCAACTGTACCAAATCACTGTACTGCCCTACATAATACGTTCCTGGATCTTCTTATACTACAAGGACCAGATGACCGTGTGCTAGATTTATCATGGAATGTACAGTAAATAATGCACCTGATTGCAGTAAATCTATCTGAACAGGAGCGGATCCAGGATTTTCTTAAAGGGGGGGGGGGTCCAAAATTTGTTAACTTGTTAATGCTATCATAAAATAATAAAACTACCAGTCACCATTTTTAATTAGTTTTGTCACAAAGGTGGTGATCTTCGTGTTTTTAATAAAACAAAAACATCAAAGCGTTTCACATTTATTTCAACCGAATGATTTATTAAACACAAAATAATTTATGTATTGTAACATATTTGAGCATGAATTAAGATATGTGTCATTCCATTAATGATGTGAGAAAATCAAATTAATATTTATAAAGATCTTTCAGAGTCTTTGACTCTCCCCTTGCTTACTAGTCCATAGATTCTTAAAGGGAAAAAAAGGGCGGTTCAGACCCTCTGGACCCCTAATTTAAATCCGCCACTTTTTGAGTTTGAAGTAATCAAAATGAGCAGGGTGTTTTGCATATAAATTGAGTTATTATAAAACACTTTAGCAAAATATTTGGCTTATGTTCCGCAAATGTAAACTGAGAAACAACAATAAAATATAATACAAACCCACACATGTCAACGAACCTGTGATTTCAAAGTTAACAATATAATGAGAAAATGTATGGAGTGTTAAATGTTGTAAATAACTCAGGACACGTTAATTCGTTGTATGTTGATCGTGTTCAGCATAATAAAACAGTGTTACAAACATCCCATTCAATCGTCGTTCATTTATTCGTGTTATACATCATAAAATAAAGTTACTCAGAGCACATTAAACCGCCATACGTTCATTGTGTTGAGCATCATTAAATAGTCTTAAGCACAGCACATTAAATCGTCGAACGTTTATCTTGTTGATAAAGAAGCCACATTTAATTGGAAGAACATACACGTCGTACGTTCATCGTGTTGGTATAGAAACCGCTATGTTGAACTGGAAGAATTTACCTTGTAATATAATGTCAAGAGTTTATTTGTGATTTCTATATATTTACATTTTTTGTACAACTATAATTACATTGCTGACTATAATTATTATGGTAATTCACAAAATAAGTTTAATAACCTTACCTTATGATTTTCTTTTTATCTAGAGTAGGTTTTCTAATAGTTATAATAGCAATTTAGATGAACTGATATAAGATACTTACCCCATAGATTTACAATTTAAGATTGTCAGCCTAAAGGATCAGTTACAATAGATTAAAAACATCAGTACTTACTGCATCCATTGTCAAATATAAGGATAGGAATTACGCCTTTTGGTAAATAATTCATCAAATGTGCCACAAAACTGACAGAGAGGTTGCTGTGGCAGAAGGAGCAGCTGTTAATGGAAATATCTAAGAATTAAAGAGAAAAAAAAGGTAGCTATATTTCACATTCCTCACAACTGGCCTTACGTAAAATCAAAACATAAAACGGTATCTGTTTAGGTTAACAAAACATGTGACGTTTCATAACATAAAATAAAATTATAAAAAGTTATATATGTTTTAGCTCTTTATTAAATGATGTCATATAAGTATTAGCATAGTAAATATTTTAATATTTTTGATACCGGTATTAGCTTAGCATATCTAAGTTCTTTGAAAGTTCTTGTACGAACATGTTAATTTTGGAAGAATAAACAAATTTAAGGAAGTAACTTTGCTAGCAGAAAATATAATTTCAGCTATTTGTTTTGTAGTTATAGGTGTAAATATAAATAGTTTATAATTTGCGTAGGACCGAATTTATATGTAATTATCATTATTATTAATTCACGACAAGTTACTAGCTTAGAAATTTATTTTCATGACATCAAACGAAACGACAGTTTTGTAGCCAAAATATAAAAAGCAAGGAAAAATAAAAAGTACGTAGTATTTTATGTATATATAGTTTCCTCATTATGCATAAAATATGTATATATAGTTT